CTATTTTGGCGCGTCGCGCTGATTATATTTATAGGTGTGTGGAAGCTTTCTAGAAAATTCAGATTACGTAAAAATACAAATTTACGCCTTTACGTACATACATATATTGTTGATTCTTACTTTCGAGAATCTTCTACAACTTTGGATAATAGGCGGGAGTTTAGCAATACATATCTTACACTATAAGCTATGCATGTTTTTAAATATAAACTTAATTTAAGCAAACGTTGATATTCAAATAAATATATAATAATAAATTCGTTACACATTGCAGTAACAAATGAGTAAATTAAAGACTATTGCATTAAAAACAAAGAAAAACTAGGCTTATTAACTTCCATACTACAATACTTTTGGATTTCATTTCTAACGCTTTATTCAGTACACTTTATACTCGTACAGGTTTTGTAAGTACAAAAAATATTCCAAAAGAAAATATGTTTATTACCTAAATTATGAAACTCTTAAGAACACTATATGTTTGTTCTTCATTTAAGTTCAGTTTACTTCTGTTCTTATAAAAATATTATTGTTAACATAATTAATATGCAGGTATTGGTATTGTTTTCAGAATACTGAGGAACTGAATATGAAATAGATTGGCAGTAAAAATGTTAATTGAACATTTTTTACTTAATACCTAATACAGAGTTATGTGATAAGAAAATAGTGATTTCAGTTAATGTTTCAACAATAATACCTGTTCTCTGATAGAAAACATTTATAGTGAAGGCAAAAAGATATAACGAATCTTTGTTTTTGACAATACAGGAACTTTTGTTTAATTGACAATCAACGACGTCTAACGCAGTTGTCAAATAATCTTGAACCCAGACGTCCTTAATAATGTCAATAAGACGAATGACTTCCAATACCACTTGGCTGGATCTTGGCGGTTGATATGCTCAAAGAAACAAACAAACAAACTGGCGTATGAGGACAATCTGTAGCACATGGGAAAACTTATTTATTTTACAATAACTAAAACTGTCGGTAAGTTGCTAGGTGTATGAGTACTGGTGTACTAGTCACTTGTCAGTGTTTGTGTGAAAATGTCGTTTTCTATAGACTTGCAGATTGCAGAGACGACAGAAATGTCCACTACGATTTTCTATACACTAGCTTTGTACTTCAGGTTAATGTATCACTAACCTGCAAGATTTGACAAATCAATAGCATGGGATGGTTTACTATGATTTTGTTTTCAACAGAATGAAGAAACTCGTAATGGTTTAAGAATTGAGAAAACAGGAGTTATATCAGAAGTGAATTTGACTGTTTGGCATATAAGACTATTACTTTGACACTTTTGTCTGTAATGAAAGTTGTTAATTGACATATGTATGTGTTCTACAAGCAACGTGAGGTAAAAACAATTAACACCGTTCTTTCAAAAGTATCTGAACAGTACGTGTGCAGATGGTTTTGACAGTGCAGTGTATTTATCTTGTCATTAACCTTTACCAAACACATTTTTATGTTGATTGTGAGTGAAACTAGTCGTTAAATCTTTCAAAAAGCTCTCTTTTCGGAAAACTTTACTTTCAGTTATAGTTGGATTGCATCCATGTTATAGTTTTCTGCAGGAGGTGTAATGTAATACGTGGACATTGTTGATGGTTGAAACAAAGAAACTAGAAAATCTTCCGAAAATAAAATGTTAAATCATATTTTCATATTCGTCATTTTTTTAAGAAGTGAGTTTAAATATTGACCCTAACTACGTGTCAACTGGAAACTGTGAAGTTTATGTGTCAACTCTACTTGTGAGTTTAGTAGCATTATTTCACTATCGATATTATGCAACGTGTTAGCTACTACATTAAACAACATTTTTTAATATAAAATGTCTTTCAGTTTCATCTTACTTGCTAGGCATTTTCTTGGAATAATATCTGTAATTGAGCTTTTATGAAAAATGTTTTACATTCATCCTCAGCAAGCTTCTGTTCACGTGCTAAATGCAGACATATCCATTTTTGACGTCACGGTGCATTATCGATTATGTTTCCCAACTATTCGTAATAGGAAGAAGCTTCAGGAGAAGCTTAACATTTTTCAACTTTTTAAATTTATATCAATGAAATTCAGGCAAGATGGAAAACTAAACGAGTTATAGTTTGCTGTAATACATATATATATGTGTGTTTACCAATATAAGAAGGTTGCAAATCTAGAATATCTAAATATTTAAATATGAATATAAGATGTATATTACTGTTGGGCAGCATCTACACTCATATACAGTTAATTATATCTGATCTAAACATTAATAATAATACAAAAGTCCATATTATGTTATTAACTCAAATACTGATAAGGTGATAAAATTCGAACTTGAAGAGAAAAAAAAAACATCTCTCGGTTGTTGACATCACTTGTAGTCTGGTCCTTTTTGACAAGCCTGAATTATGGGAATAGTTAGGATAATTATAATTTGAATAAGCATTTTAAATCATTTATAATGGAACGTACTTTATATCATTTATTAATCATGTTATACAGAGGGTTTCAGAAGGAGAATTCTTACAGCAACAACAACAACAACAAAACATAAACGAATATTAGGATTAATTCATATAAAAAAACGGAAGTGGTTTAAGATCAATATATTTTGTATATAAGTTTTCAACTTTTTTTGATTTGCTGTTATTCCAAAATAATATTTATAGTTTTTACAGATCGAAAGGCTTAAGGTTCAAGTTATGATGCCGCTGAACACGCTCTACACTTTCAGCAGTGAGCTCATTAAAAAAAGTGATAATAAATGCAGTCATTCTATTCAAAGAGCTAACCGAAGCTAGCGGGTTACTCTCTTTCCTATCAGTAGTTTAAAATTAGGGGAGGCTATACCTGAATCCAAGGTGCCTTTGACTCGACCGTTTAGCCTATCTGACGAGTAATATCCGTTCAGGTTGAAAACACTCTATTGCAGAGAAGACATATCTTGGCATAAAAATCTACTTTTTCTAGGCAGTACTCTAACAGTAAAGTTTTCTCTCTATCTAGAGTTTCTAGAAGTGTGTTTGCAGAAAACCGGGTTGGCTTAAAACTATGTTTTTCAGTAATTTAACTTAAAAACGCTACGCACTTTACGTAAGCAGCTCATTTTGTGGGTATTAACAACTTGCTTCGACTTATCATTTTCTCAAGCGTATCATTTATTATTAAGTCATTCTCATTTATGTTAAATATGTGTCGTTTAATACGTTTGTACCTGTATTGTTTTCAGTTTTGCGAGTGGTTTACGGGTAATTCTTTTACTGTCTTCATTTATTTTTTGCTAAGGATTTGTATTGAGGGCTAATATTCCCCAAACATTCCAACGCTTTATGAAGTAAGGTTTGATCATGTAGTGCTTGACATATGGTTTTTCACGTTGTCTTCAGCATCTCACGAATTAAACCTCTAAAGAGATTTGTTTCTTTTGTCAAATTTAATCTGTAATTTTAAAACTAAAATATCAGATCTATACTATAAATGGCAAACTAATTTTTATAATGTATACTTTAAACTCCTCTTATAGTAACCCAAAGTGTTACATCATCTCATGTAAATTCATGAGTTACGACTATTTATACAATTGATAATTTATTCTGTAATTTCGACTTGCTGTTTTTAAAGTAGTATTTTAACTATTTTGTATCGTCTGGTAAATATTCATATTGTTTTAATGCATATTAACAGTACAAAAATGTAAATTTTAACTATAATGTATTTTTATTAGTGGAAAATTTGCAAGATCAGTTTACAAGTTGAATCTTTTTGGTTTCGTTACAAAACAATTGATGTTAAATTGTTAGTACTTTTGTCTTTATATGCAAATTATCTTTGATTAAGTAGAGGCCATGAAAGAAGATGTTTGTCTTCTTAATAAAAGTAAAGCTAAACAATAAAATAATGAAACAAATATTGTGAGAGTAAATATCGTTTTCTTTTGTGAAGTATGAAATAAATGTTAATGAATATTTTATATTGTTTGTGGTGTCCGACACTTTCTGGTACATGATTCTCTAATAAGTATTTTATCACAAAAGTTATTCTTTATGCAGAAGAAGTAGTGCCAACGTCACATATTATACTTCATTTCGACTTGTAATAAAAATACTATGAAACATTTCTGCAACCTGATGTAGTAATCACCAAAATATGGTAATAGTGAATTTAATGTACTTGATGCTTTAATTTTCCGCAATTTCCATCCAAACTTTTAACTTTTGTAACACATTACTATTTAAGTATTAATTATATATTAGTCTAATAAATTTATTAACTTATGCAACATTATTATTGACTTGTTGAAAATTTTGTACCTCAAATAATTAAATATACTATGCTTTTGCGTTTAAAAATGATAAAGTATTTTGGGGGAAGAAGATAAATTTGAAAAACACTTCCCTACATATTAGTGACTAAAAACAATTTATCTTAGGAATTTGTTTAAATTGCAGAATCTTATTTTATTTTAAAGCAATTCGTTAAAGAAAACAAAATATACTGTGTATAAGAAGTAGATTCATGAAAAGGTCATTTTAAAAGCAGATTAATTATATATTTGATTGTATGTTAACGTTAATAACTAAAAATGTATCACAATGTATATGAAAGATAAAACCAACATATTTTCACTCTCTGAAGCTAGTCTCACCATAATTTATTCCGTGTGTTACTACTACTGTCAGCAACAATGTGTTAAATGGCAGATTATGAAGAGAAATATTTTACCGTACAGTACGAGGTTGCCGTTGAGCTGTGCAAAAGTACTTTGATAGCAGATTTAAACCAATTGTTTGCTCATAAGTCAAATAAGATAACATTTCTATAAAAAAAAAGGCTAATAAACAAAGTTAGGTATTAGAACGATAAAACATCCATCACTAAAACAGATATTTCACAATTTTCTTTGAAACTGTAGTTGTAGAATTATTTTTGTATATGTGAAACAACGATGAAGCGTTGGTTTAATTTCTGTATTTATCATACATGCACATTTTTTTGCAAAAATAATCAATTAAAAGATATACATATATGTATTACAAAAAGTGAAATAAAAAATAAAAAATTCTGCCGTAAATGTTGAAGTTTTCATATTAGATCAATAAAACACTTTTCAAACAAAAATTTATATAAAAGAAAATTGAAAAATACATCAGTTGTTAGTGTCATATGTTTTGGTATTTATTTTTACCCTTATATTTCTTTATTTGAAGTTTTAAAGCTCCTAGAGTTATATTTCCTAAATATCTTTGCAATATTTAGTTCAGTAAATGTAATATGTGTTTTGCTCGCTTGTTTAAAGTTAAACACAAAGCTACACGATGGGCTATATGTGCTCCTCCCACCACGGTATATCGAAACCCGGTATCTAGTGTTGTAGGTCCGTAAACATACCGCTGTGCCACTGGGGGGCGTTATACGTGTCATTAAACAGACTAGCAAAAGTACAACAAAAGTCTTATTCAAGTATTTACATCGACTTAAATAAACTTAGCAAGCGGAAGATATGGGGACACTCTGAGGTTGATACAAGTGTAAAATTAAAAAGCCAACCCCGAGGTCACTCCACGAGGACTCTGAAAGTATATGCTTTTGTATGGTCCAGCGATTTGTCAGTTATCAGCAGACATACTCACAGTCTTTTGTCACATATATATTTCTATACGTGATCTAATATCTTCTAAATCAATAAGGTAACGGTAATTCAGTGAAATAGTTCAGTTTCTTATTAATACATAATAAACCGGCATTATCTGTTTGTTTTGTTTTTGTAATTAAGCACAAAGCTACACAATGGGCTATCTATGCTCTGCCCACCACGGGTATCGAAACCCGGATAAGTTATAAGTCCACAGACATACCGCTGTGCTACTGGGGGGCTTCGGCATTATCTAATTTTAAAAGCTGTAATAGAGTTAATCCTCCTTATTATTTTTTCTACCTAAAACCAAGCATTATCTTGTTCATCAAATCAATACCATTTACCTAATGAATCACTATTCGGTTAGGGTAGCCCTAGTGTAAATATAGTGGGTGGTGTTGACCAGCTGCCTTCCTTGTAGATTATCGGATAGCGTGATAGCTCTGAAATAGTTACAGAATGAACTTACGTAATCTAGCCCATTAAATATTAGTTATATTTATCTCCTATAGACTGAACTAAACATATTCTAGCTCAGTAAGTACTTTTCCAACCAACTTAAATAACATTTTCTAAGCCAACAAATGCAACATGTTTATTTCTCCTATGTGGCAATTCATCATTTCCCAGCTCAGAAAATGTCACAAATGTAGGCCGAGTGCCTGACTATGATGGTTAGAATTAATTGTGTGCATCCTGGTGACGTAAAACGCCCTCACACTTTTGAGATCCTGGGTCTCTATAGGAGTAACGATCCAACCCCTCTGTTTGATTAGAGTAGTGTAAGGGTTGGCGGGAAGGTAGCTACCTTCTTTTTAATCTATCAGTTCAAAATCAGGGACGGCTGGTGCAGGTATCCCCTGTGAAGCTTTCCGCGATTCAACTCAAAGAAACAAACATTTTCCTAATTCCTGATGAACCAACGTTTTCTGGTTCAGTAAAAACACAGTAGAAAAGACTGCAAGACGTGAAAAAAGTATTCAAAATTGGTAAAACACACGTCTATGACAAAAACTTTGTTATTATTATTTGCAAAGTTTCGGGCAGAAGCCCTTCGTCAGGCACTTTAAACCGGGTTACATAGAAAAAAGACTTAAACAGTAAATGCAACAATTATTTTTCCTCATATCTAGGAAAGCAAAATTATCTACATCAGTAAATTGAATATGAAATTTTCTAATCTATAATAATAAAAGATCCTGTTTGTGTGTGTGACCGCCATAGCTTCAAGAAGAAAGAACCTAGAGACCTGAAACTGTGCACTCATTCTAATGGGATTCTGAGGGTGTACACCTGGGTATTAATGTTTAGATTTGACTAAAAATATTTGGCCAATATTTTGCTCTCTAGCCCTTAAGCTCCATAATTCTGTTTCCTGAAGGTGTATAGAAAAGTAACATTTTTTTCTAATTATCACTTATTGAATGAACAATATGTGGAGGTTTTCTGCAATATATTGTTGAAAAAGAACAAAATGGTCAAATATCTGCCAAAATTGGGGAGAATGGACATATTTTACCAACAAATGAAGAGCATTCAATAAGGTATGAGGCAAAATATTTCTTAGCACACTAAAGACAACAGAAAGGGAAACAAAAGCACCAGGGCCAATGGAACAGAGTCTCAGAATACTAGAAAAGGTTTAAATAGATAAAGTTCGGGAAATGACATCAAACAAAACAGTTAATAAATTTTGGCGCATGAATAAATTTCAAACACAAATATGAGAAGAAAACTACAAATCTGAGAATTAAAAAAGTTGAATTGAAATAAGTGTGGAAAATGGCAACTAACAATAGGAAGAAAAACATGAATAAGAGCATATTAAAGAATTCGGAGAATGAAAAGAATTCAAATAAAAACAGGAACAAAAAAAACGAATCTGAGAAGCTAAATTAAACCTATTTGCTTTTACGAAGA